TGCGACTCCTTTCCGCCATCCTCGACGTGCCTCTGCGCTATCCGCTGAGCACTGTCCCCCTGGGCAGTTGTCGATCTCACGTCATGGACCCGGTCATCACGCATTTAGCGGAAGAAGAGCGACGGTGAGTTGCCTTCCCCTCCTCCCTCTGCTCGTTTGGATTACTTCTCAAGGCGGTATCATCAAGTCTCTGATTTTACATCGAGTTAGATGAGTCAAAACCACCGGGTTACTACTTACGATGATAATGATAAAAGAACCGGTAAGGGTAATTTATCATTTTGGGCTTCCGGGATGACTCCTAAATCCATCATGGGAGATGTGTGCAAAGAAGCAAGGTCAGAAGAATGGGGGGAGAAACCACCCAATGAAATTTACACACGATTTCAGTGTAGACTGAAGTGACCTTGGTGACAGCCACCAATCATAGAGCCAGCTTGCCAAGAGGGGTGGAACTCGATACGTTTGTTTGTCAGGTACTGACTCACCTCTCGCGAGGTTCGACTTCCGTCTAGTTTGACCATTGACGTGATAGCAAAGTGACCATGTCACGTATGTTTACATGACCTAGGCTCCAGCCATGGCGTCGTTCGACTTGTGCAATTGTCATTGCAGTTGTAGGTGGTAGATGGTTCGCCTGGACGCGTGCAAATTAGCAGCGATTTGTCCTCTCTCGCAAAACGAGGGCACCAAATGTAAACATGACACCTACCAATTTCCAGGGGCATTTTGACCCTGTGCAGAGGCTTTCCGAACCTTTTTCATCGGTTTTTATCGTGAGAAATGTTACGATTAATCAGCACTCAAAGTGTCCAACAGATAGGTCATCATGTTTTTTCCAAAAATTGACTCCTAAAAGATGTTGCGAATTGCGAATTTTCCATCTACTAGAACATTTAAATGTTAAATAGATTGCGCCTACCGTAGCCTGAAAATTTTTTTGCGCAGATTGTCCTCTGAAATCACGCACACCTAGCGTGCAAGTGAGGGCTAGAAAAATCCGGTTTTATGACCAGCTTTTGCGTAACGCAGCAACTGTGTGGTCTTGTGATGAAAACAGTTGGATGCGGTATATCAAACTATGGTTTTCACTGCATGTAGTAGGGATATTGTTGTTAGGTGCAGGCAGCCAGTCTGTGAATGGTATGGGTCCGTTTTTTTTCAAATTTGACCGACTCGGTTAAGCAGGATTCCGCGTATGACACATAACCCTCTAACGCGCGTATCGGTACCCTGCGCCCGTCAAAATTTCAATTGTCTGCAGTAATTTACACCAATTAAGGCGCACATTTCTGCATTTATCCTATCAGGTTTTTACCACATATTTTAATCGAAATTTATCGACTGAAACAGTTCACTTGCCATACCTTTACCACCTGGTTGGTCATCATGAAGATTGTATTACCGTTAAGATCTGTATAGATATTCAGTGCCGGTAACGCCACAACCTTAACTTATTTTTCATAACTGCCTACTTATTTCGTAGTAGTAAACATGATGTTTTGCTTCTTTGGCATCGGCTGTTACTCACCACAGCCCATCCGTATATGCTATTGTACCCCCACGGACACATCTAGTGACACTTGACTACTTTTTATTGGATGTGGGTGC